GAGAAGAGAGGCATGCTATTTGCTAGCTCTGCAACAGCCAGAGTGTCTCAATGGAGACCTACAAAACTGTTTCTGTGTCAAATTTTACATTATTCAATCAAAAATCTGCTAGTGGGAGCTAAATTTCCTTGTTACACCATTCACGTACTTGCTTTCTGCCTGGAAGCATGGCAGAAGTAATTAAATTTTCCACTGTTCTTGCAGCAGCAGCATTACTATTAGGTCAGCCCTGCTGGTGCTGTAGGTAGAACTACAGGTGTTCAGTCCTTGGTGAGCAGGAGGCAGGATACAGGGCACTCAGAGGGAAGGGAAAGGCTGAGGCCTCATGGTCATGTCCAGCTTTGATCACTAGAACATATACAAGGTTTGTCACTAGCAAGCCTGCAAGTGTTTTGGGCAGTAGTTTCTACTAAGTTATTTCAAACATGCTGCTCCACAAAGTCTTTGCCAGGTCTCAAACTGACTGTTTGCACCTAGGTGGGAGTCTCCAAGATGTGTTGCAGGAAAACGCAAAGCTTGGGCAATATTTCTCCGAAGCAGAGCTGAAAGAAATATTGTTGCAAGTCTCCATGGGGCTAAAATACATCCATAACTCTGGCCTTGTGCATCTGGATATCAAACCTAGTAAGTGTAGTGCTCTTCTCCTTTTTGGAGGGTCCTCCTAGTGACCTGTCAGGGGTAAGACACTGTAATAGCCTCCTAGTGACCTGTCAGGGGTAAGACCCTAAAATAAATCCTTCTGACTGGACCTATCATACTGCTTAAAAGGAAAGAGGCTCATTCCCCAAAAGGTGAAAGTCTTGTATAAGTTTTGGGGGGTTTTGGTGGTTTTCTTTTGACTTGTGGTACTACTGCTGCTCTAAAATTAATCCTTCTCTGATAGTTGGCAGCATTTTAGCTCTGTCTCCTAATCTTCATAATCCTGGATCATGGGAATTACCTTCATACTGGTGGAGCAAGTAGTGCTGCTAATGAAGGCAGGGACTTCCTTATTTGCTGCTGTCTTGTTGCACACACTTGACTTTTGTATGTGAGAGCTGGAGTGATAAATCAAATATTTATTGTACCTGCCCTGAGGGATTAAGTTCTGCAGAAGCAGTAACAAGGCTCCCTCTCTGCAGCTGAGGATGGGCATCTCCAGGGCAATGCTCCCTCCAGTCACACAGCTAATATGTGGAGCTCCTTTTTCCAGCTGAGTTATGCTTCTAGCTTAGAGGGCTGAGGGAGGGGAAAATTGATTTCACTAGGATATTCTATGCACAAGATCCAACTGCCTTCTGCCAGCTCTGTTGCTGAACACATGAGCTGGGCAGAAAGCAGACTGATGGGTGGGAAGCATGTGCACAGTTTATCTGGCTGCAAAGCTTAGCTAGTTTGACAGGTGGGATTTTTACAAAGTTGTCAGGCTGCTGCAGTCTGACTACTGATATCACACCATTGCTAAACTTCTCTGTCTTGCAGGTAATATCTTCATCTGTTACAAGCTGGCAGATGTGGGCTCTGCTGGGCAGGAGGAGAGTGACAGCGAAGACGAATTCTCTTCTGGTGTGGTGTACAAGATTGGTAGGTTTTAGTCTACTTTACAACTGGCTTAAGATAGGTCTGATCATTACTGCTTGATACTGCTCTGTCCTGCTGGCTGAAGAGACTTACATATGAAACAGCATATTCCTGAATGCCCCAGATACTTACCAGATAAGTCTGGTAAGTACCTAAGGAGATAAGTCCTGGAGAACTTGTGTGACTGTTTCCAAGCCCAGATTCCTGAGAAGGAACAGACTTGCTCTCATACTCAGTGTTTCCTTGTTGCCTATAAAATGCAGGCTTTTATTGGTGGAGTTCTACATCAGTTTGCTCCACCAGTTGCTTGTTCTTTGTCTCAGGTGACCTTGGACATGTGACATCAATAACAAACCCTCAGGTGGAGGAAGGAGACAGACGGTTTCTGGCCAAGGAGATTTTGCAAGAGGTACAGCTGCTGGCAGGGCAGTGGGGAGAACAGGGTGGTGAGCAAATGGGGAGAGACTGATGGTACAGCAATCATTAGTCTAGTGTGTTCCTCTTCTTATTTGACATTTTCTCATTAGTCTAGTGTGTTCCTCTTCTTATCTGACATTTTCTGTCTGGTCTAGCTGTGAAATCAGCAAAATTAATGATTTGTTATGAACATCATAGGTGTGGGTCTTGTCATGTAAATATTTACAATACCTCATAAATAACTATGATTGGATTATTGCAACTATTCCTTGTGAGGGATCAATGGGACAAATCAGTTTGAAGACATTTGATTGGCATGCCCAGCTGAGATTAAACTGCTGGATGTGATTGCTGAGGAATATATGCATCCAGATATGTGCTTTGTACAAACACTGAACAGGTATTGTGGAGAGGTGGGAAGCACAACACACCTCTTAAACTGACTGCAGTTTTGTCACTCTGGCCAGTGAACTAAAAGCAAATCAGTATTGAACCACCAGCTTGGATGTGTTCGTCAACTCTGGTATTTAAGTGACAGTATCTGGTTTTGTTGCAAGTGGATTTAAGAACTGTTAGGTCAATGTATGAGATGCATTCCTCAGTTTGAGTTGGGCATGACTAGCTTATTGCCCTGTGGTGAAGGCTGGAGGTACAAATCTGGTAAGATACCCTCTGGAATTGCTGCAGTGACTCTAATGTGGGCTGAAAGCTCCTCATGGCTGGGTGAAAGCCACATGCTATTACTTACCAGTACTGTCTGCTGTCAATGTTTTCATCCTAAAGAGGAGAAAATGGCTCACTGGGGTGGTGTAGACAGGGCATTACCAGTACTGTCTGCTGTCAATGTTTCCATCCTAAAGAGGAGAAAATGGCTCATTGGGGTGGTGTAGGCAGGGCCATACACACACTTGCTTGGCTGTTTCTTTATGAGCTTGTGCCCCAACCCACCTTTGTTTAGTATAGCAAGATGTTCTCTTTCTGTAACTGTTTGCCTTCTCTCTGCAGCAATACTACCACTTGCCTAAGGCTGACATCTTTGCCCTGGCACTCACAGTAGCTCTAGCAGCTGGTGCAGCACCACTGCCTCACAACGGGACCATGTGGCACCGCATCCGCAAAGGCAATATTCCACCCATCCCTCGGGAGCTTCCTCCTGAATTTCTTGAGCTCCTTCAGGTGAGGAAGTAGTCTTGACAGGATGGTGGCTTTTGCAGTTGACATGTGACAGGAGTGTTAAACTCTGAAGTCCTTTGCCTTCTAGCTCATGATCCATCCTGACCCAGTGCAAAGACCTTCTGCTTCAGCTCTTACTAAACATCCTGTTCTCCGTCCTTCACGTGGAAAAGCTGTGCAGCTCCAGGAGCAGCTCAATGTGGAGAAGTGCAAGACTGCCATGCTGGAAAGGTAGGGTTGGCTTGGGCATGAAGGGGAGGAGGCATGGGCACAAGTGTTGGCCACCAGCATTAAATGTAGGTGGTAGTGCTGGGAGACCTCATCATGTGTGGAAATACCCAGTCAGCTCTTGTGCCTGGAGCTGGGAGTATGATGGGACTCTAGCAGTGACTTATAGCACAGCTGCTTGGGCACTGCACTTCCAGCTTTGAGGAGCTGGCTGAGTTAGAGCAGTGAACTCATGCACTTACTGCAACCACTGGTGATGGAAAATACTGATACAACCTATAGCCAGTGGGCAGATGAGGAATTGATGATGCACTGAGATAGTGGTTGAAGCACAGAAGGAAGAGAAATATCAGGTGATGCCAGACATCCTTTTCCCCCTCGTTCCCTCTCACTGCTGTAACATTTTGAGGTGCTGGGATTTAGGAACTGCCCCACTACCCCTCTTAGTGCAGTAGTCAGCTGGGGAGTAGGTTTTCTGTGTAGCATATGCCCTGGAAGAGCAGCAAGCAGCAGGAAAGAAAGGCAATAGAAAAGATGAAGTGCTTCTATTAGGTGTTTGCACTGCATGAGATGGCATTGATATAAGTCCCACCACTCACAAATACCCGAAACAAAGGGAGAAAAACTGAGCTAGGGGCTCTTCATACTGGTGCCAGTGTGTTGCTGACCTGATAGGTAGTTTTCTTTTGGTACATCTTTGGAGCTGATGCATTTTTTGATTAGAAACTTCAGAAATGGCTACAGTAATCTGTCACCCTCTGAGGTTAAAAGTTGCCACTCAAAGCTGGAGTGACTGCAGTAAGCCTCTTGTGCAAGATTGTTCATAGTTTGCTTCTGTAGCTGATGGGGATTCATGCATGACTAGTTCTTCCTCTTCCCCTTCCTCTCATCTCCCCCCTGCAGGGAACTTAAAGCAGCTCGTCTTGCCCAGACCCTCATGAAGGACCAAGCCTTAGGAAGTACCAAGTTGCAAGAGTCTGAAACCTCTTCTAAGCAAAACAGCAAGCGCCTGGTGGGAGGGAAGAGCTGTCGCTCGTTTAGCTTTACTGTGGGTTACTGAATTTGTGTTGTGCAAAGAGTTCTGCCTGCTGAATGGGCCTGTGAAAGCAGAGGGTTTCCACAGACCAATGCCCCATATTAGCTCTCCCTGTTGTATTTTTTTCTTTTGTTCTCTTCTTAGTTATGATGACACCTTTTGGCTGAGGGAAGAATGATGAGCTCACAAGAGCTGGATCATGGGATTTAAGATTATTGTCCTCAGTCTTTTACCTGTTTAATTTCTTGCATAACCAGTCTTGTTCTGGACTTAGAGTAGCTTTGCCATACAAGGGAAAGGATGACGTTTTCTCTATTCACCTCCTCTTTCTTCAGTTGGGCCCTGTGTTTGATTTTTGTGATCTTAATTCTCTGGTTGACTATATCTTTAGAGGGGTGACTGTGGTTGTACATGGAGACAGTAACTACCCCTGAGCCCTCCTAGGAGTGAGTAGGTGCAGACTGGTAGAGTTTTAACTGCACATCAGAAGACAGAGTGGGTACAAAGCAGTCCTGGTGGACTTGGGATGCAAAAGGAGTGGTGTTTCACTGAGGAATAAAGAGTCAAACACAAAAAGTCAAACATTTTGAGTTAAGGAGTGGAAGAAAAACTTTCCTTCCCTTAACTTTCAACAACGAAATTCCTGTAACTGGGTAAGCTATTGCAAACTAGTTAGTCCCTGGTGCCTGACTTGTTTTCTGTGCACGGCAAGGGCTCCTTTGTTCGAGGGGAGAGCCAAGCGCGGTGTGCTGGGTCCTGTTTCCCTTTCAGTATCTCACGTGGTGCAGCTGTTTACCGCTGAGCCTTTCAGCGAAGGTGACGGCAATAACAAAGGGCTTTTCCAGGTTTTTGGAGCAGCCCATGTAAGGTGTGCTATGCACCGATTGCATCTCGCACCCGCATCCCTCACTAAACGTCCCTTCGTGTGTCCTTGTCGCTGTGTCTGGCTGTCCTGGCTGGACACCATTTCGAGGGGGAGAGTGTGAAGTCGGTAACTCAGTTATTTCCCGCTTTTACCGAAGTTTGTTGTAAAATGCCGTGCGCGGTTGGCTGTTAACTGTTCGATCCTTTACGAACCGAAGCAAATAAAGATTTTACCTCGCTTTCTTTTACCCGATGACGGAGTGACTCTTTTTTCCCCGCC